GTTTCAAGAGAACAGCATCGAAACATGTATATCTAGGGTGAAACAGATCACCAGCCCAGGTTGGATGCATGAGACAAGTGCTCAGGCCTGGTGCACTGGGAAGACCCAGAGGGATGGGGTGGAGAGGGAGGTGGGAGGGGGGACCAGGATGGGGAATACATGTAAATCCATGGCTAACTCATTTCAACATATGACAAAAACCACTGCAATGATGTAAAGCAATTAGCCTCCAACTAATAAAAATAAATGGAAAAAAAAAAACTTTTTCCAAGTATAGGTTATAGTGTAAATCTAAAGCACATGTACTTATAATTTCTCCTTGTTCAAACCTAACAAACTACCATAATGATAAAAAAAACAGATAGGTTTTATTTTTCAACATATTAGAAGTTAAAAGAGAATGGATAAGCATAAGACATAATAAAATAATAAATAGTTTAGGATATTTTGAAAGAAGGAATTTGGAAAGAAATGGCAGCAACAAAGACCCAGCACAGCCAAGTATTCTAAAATAAATAAACCAAGTTAAAAAAAGAAATTAGAACACATGCAAATGCAATGCTGTTGGGAATTCAAATTATGTAACCATTGTTGCAAATGCTCTGGCAATATCTAAAATAAATAAATAAAGAATTAATATATAAGTGCACTTATGAGCATATGTCATAAATAAAAGAAGGCAGAGTCTAGGATAAGTGTTTGTACACCTGTGTACAGTCTTAGAAAAAGAAATTCTGCTACATGTTACAGCATGGATAAAGCTTGCAAATATTATGCTAAATAAAATAAACCAGTCACAAGAAGCCATAAATATGATTTCACATAATGGGTTACTCAGGGTAGTCAAATCCACACAGATGAATGTGTGATGGTGGTTATTAGTGACTGGGATGTGGGAGCAATGGCGATTTAGAGTTTGCTAGGTAAAGAGTTTCTGTTGGGCTAGATAAAAATGTTCTGTTGTAATGTGAGCTATGATTGCACAATACTGTGTATGTACTTAATGTCACTGAAAATTAGGTACAATTGTAAATATTATTGTATGTATATTTACCAAAATAAGGTCAAACATAAAATGTAACAAACTAGTTCATATTTGGAACTCCAGATACATTGTATAAAATCTATGGAAATGTCCTAAACATGTGCAAGGGAATCAATATTCTTATAATATGTGGCCTATGAAAATTTATCATGAAAAAATGGACCATTTTTTTTTAATAAATGTTGTATGGATTCAACTAGACAGCATGTTAGGCTATCCTATAGTATAGAGCTTACATTGGTAATCTAATTATAGACAAGTTAAAAAATGTAATATTTGAAATTACCAATGGAATTATGATCATTCCTGTCATACACATTTTATATAGGGCTATCTCTGAAAATTTTTTCATGGGGTGGCTAATATGATCACAATATAAAGGTAAAAAAATTAGATACCAAATAGAACAATAAATGACATGCTATATTGACTTTTCATTCCATATTCATATTTTACTTTTCTAGTATTCTGTCTTATTTAATTACTTAAAAGATCCTTGTATCTAACAAGTAGGAAATCTCAATTGTAGATAATCAGCCTTACATACTTCAGGGTTCAAAATGAAGAGGGTATTTCTCAGATAAAATAAATCCAGATTGCTTATTTTTCTCTTTTGTTTTTATCCACCAGATAAAAAATAAATAACCTATTTCAACTTGCAAAACATTTTCAATCCCTTTGATTTTTAAAATTTCTTTAAAAGCATTGCAATCTATTCATCAGTTAATGACATGATACATAAGAGAACTGAGCTACTAGCAGAATATTTTAATGGCAGTTATTTTTAATTGGAAAAAAAAAACAAATCCAGCTTTTTTTTTGAAATTTTCTAGGAAATCTCAGAGTAGACTTTTAAAAACCTCTAAAGCACAAGACACTCTGCAACAGGTTTTCAGAAATTTGGATCACTTCCTATCTTCACAGATCCCTAAAATATCTTAAAATGTTGACCTTCCCTAACGTGACTTGTCTTAATGTTCTGTAGGGCTGGGAAAGCAATAAACCAGGTTAGCAGGTCAATTTTACTGAGAGATCTTTGAATGTACTGGCTACAGTAAGTCAGTCATAGTTCCTATAAAAGGCCTGAACGAACATTGATCTAAATGCCTATGATAAGATTATTTCTGCATTACTAGAATTTGTTCTCTAGAATTGAAATTATGAAGCAGCTTTTGTAGAATTGAATCAGATTAGCCAGAAGAATGGCCTCTGGACTCTAGATAAGTAGAATTCTCCACAGTAACCTTTAAGGGAGACCGGCATGAGATTCCACATTTCTCAAGTTTTTCCATACCAATCTGTACCAAAGAAGGGACAAAAATTGTGCAATCTCTTGTACTAGTTTACCTACCTAGGAATTTTACTAATAGTATTTAATAGTCAATTAATGTGTATTTTCAATACTTGAACATAAATGATTTGAAATAAATTTTAGAGTATAAAGAGATCTAGAATATATGATGAATCTTTGTATATACATGTTTTCATGCTTCTAATTCACATAAGGCAATAGAGTTTTACAGTGGTGAATCAGTATTAATAAGTAAATAATTATATAGGTGGATTTTCAAAGAAGAAAACTGATTATCTGTATACATCCTTCAGTTTTGCTTTACAATGAGAACATGTTTATTTTGCTTCATTACACAAGTAGACCAGAAAGAGTTTAGATTTAAAAGTAGATACAAATCTAGCTCACTTACTTATAAGAAACATAGTATTATATAATTAAACTACCTGAACTAGTAATTTCTATGTAAAACAGATATAAAAAGTCATGGAATATTACAAACTGTTAGATGAAATATAAAGAGTACATATCTGGGTGTAAAAAACATCATTGTAAAGTAGCTGCAAACTTTAGCATCTGTATCAATACAAAGTCATCACCATCGTTTACATTCACCTCACTGGTCATCTGCTACAACTGCATAATGATATAGTTTCCAATAATCTATGCATCCTATGCCTATATGCTCACTACAGCTGTGCAAAGTTGTTTATGCCAATCTTATTATTTTTCACTATAAATTTATCAATGCATGTAAGAATTTTTAAAAAGTCAATAAATTGCAAAACTTAAAAACATATGAAACTAAATTGTCATTATTTTAAAAAACAAGAGGTGGATTACTAAAATTATATTCTCTCTAATATATATATGTATATATATGCGTGTGTGTGTTTATTTATATGCAAACCACTTCAATATTCTTGCCTAGAGAATCCCACAAACAGTATGAAAAGGCTAAAAAATAGGACACTGAAACATGAACTCCCCAGGTCAGTAGATGCCTAATATGCTACTGGAGATCAGTGGAGAAATTGCTCCAGAAAGAATGAAGAGACAGAGTCAAAGCAACAGTGACACCCAGAAATTAAAAGACACTTGTTCCTTGGAAGAAAACTTATGACCAATCTAGTCAACATATTAAAAAGCAGAGACATTACTTTGCCAACAAAGGTCAGTCTAGTCAAAGCTATGGTTTTTTTCCAGTAGTCATGTATGGTTGTGAGAGTTGGACTATAAAAAAAGCTAAGCACCAAAGAATTAATGCTTTTGAACTGTGGTGTTGGAGGAGACTCTTGAAAGTCCCTTGGAGTTCAAGAAGATCCAACTAGTCCATCCTAAAGGAAATTAGTCCTGGATATTCATTGGAAGAACTGATGCTGAAGCTGAAACTCCAACACTTCGGCCACCTGATGTAAAGAGCTGACTCATGTGAAAAAACCCTGATGCTGGAAAAGATTGAAGGAGGGAGGAGAAGGGGACAACAGAGGATGAGATGGTTGGATGGCATCTGGTAGTTGGCAATGGACAGGGAAGCCTGGCATGCTGCAGTCCATGGGGTCACAAAGAGTCAGACATGACTGACCAACTGAACTGAATTGAACACATATATATATAAATATATAGGTATTTATATGTAAGTGTGTGTTCATGCTAAGTCATTTGAGTGGGGTCTGACTCTTTTCAACCGTAAGGACGGTAGCCTGCCAGGCTCCTCTGTCCATGCGATTCTTCAGGCAAGAGCACTGGAGTGGGTTGCCATGCCCTCCTCCAAGGGACCTTGCTGAC